GATGGGCAAGAACTAAAGTCTGTGACTGGTCAGACTCTTCAAATTGAGGAAATGCTATGCTTGGTCCTGAAGAGTGCTTGTTTGTTGACCCCAGCTGTGTTCCGATACTGTACCCAGGGAGCAGCAGCACCCTAGAGAGATGCTGCAATTATGGCTATTAGTTTTAATTGAAGAGCTGTGTCCTTAACTCAAAGCTTACAGGTAATTTATTAAGGTCATTAAAGAAGGTGTACACTGAAGTAAGGTCTTAGAGAGTACAACAGCAGGAAGGAAAATACCATACAGGGTGAAAACATTACGTATTTTAAGCTTTATATTATAGATTGTAAATCAAAAAGCCCCATGCAACCTGTCATCCATGGTAATTTACTATTCCAGTGTATTAGTTTGTTCTGATACAATTCCACCAGTTCCACATGAACAGACCATTTCGGTGCTGGAAAACCCGATTACTAAAAAAAGTAGACTTGAAAACAAAATATGCTGTCAGCAAGCCACCTGTAAGTGATATTGGGAAAGATTATATAATACATTTAGAGCACTTCACTTCCTTAACAGTCAGGGCTGGCACAAGATGAGCTTCCTGAATGTCGTCCCAAATAAATATATTTTTTTTTGAAATTGCAATCTGAAATTCTCAACATTTAATTTTCTTTTTCCTGCTTATGATGAGAAAATCATATTGAGAAAATCATCATTGAGGAAAGAGATAAATTTAGTTCTTGAAGAACTTTTCTTCTTTGAATGACACTGAAACTCCCTGTGGCTTTCAGTGAAGCTGACAGTGTGACAAATGCAAAATCAGGACCTCAGATCTCCTTCCAAAGCCCACTGAAATCAGTAGAAGCCATCCCATTGACTTACATGGAGTTAGGATCAGGCCCTTTTTGGTTTCCTTGCTCATTAAAACCCAAAGTCTGTCTACAGAGAGCACAGAGTAATTTTTCTTCTGGGAACCTGGACTTTATTGCCAGTGAATTTGGTTCTCCATTAAGAAATACAATGACTGTTGTTAGAAATGCTCTTGTTATTCAGGAGGGAGATGTTGATATTTGCTCAGTAAAGTGGTAGTTAATAATGAGATTTGCATTACAGTTGCCTTCAGAAGTCCTTCCAGTTTTCTGGTATTTTGGAATTACAGGAGGCACCTAGATGTTGTAGGAATACACTTACACTGTGCTTAGCCACATTTTTATGCATTGTGAAAACTGCTCAACTCTGACTGAAACATCCATCATCCCCAACTTTACTAAGGACAAATGAAGATATAGATTTATTATGAAATATTCTCATACTGCAGAACAGGCCAGTCAAGCATAGAAGATGAAAGAGCAGCTGAAGCTGTAACTAAGAATGTGGGGTTTTTCCTTACATATGGTAACATCTACACTTGTGAGCAGGGGGCTAGGAAGCAAGGGATGGAGGATGTAACCAGCCACTCACTACTGACCTTGCCTTTAACAAGTTGGATTTCGACTTTGTGTTGCAAGCACACCCCGGTTTATCTGGCTAGGAAATATCCCTTCATCATGTTGTTTGGTTTGCTGCTCACCATGGACAGGCACTTGGGGTGCTGGGAGACCTCTCAGCTTTTCCATTACTGTAGGGTAAAGAATGCCCTCTTCACAAAGAATCATATTACATTGTGTGGAGCCTGTCTTTAAAAAAAATGTAATTGCTTTGGAAGAGGATCTCTGAGTTTCCTTAAGTAGTGTCAGAAAGATGCAATCAGGGTGTTCTTGGGTTTGCTCTTACCTGTAGTTTGTTCCTGTGTCTCAAAAAAGAAAAACAAATTCTAGGATTAATGATTTTTACATTAAACTAAAAGATGTGATGACAGAATGGAAAATAAACTCTCAGATGACTAAAAAGACAAAAACGGTTTGTCTAAGCATTGTTAAGCATTGCAACTGAGATTGCACAAAATTTACCTTCACTGCAGAAGTTTGCGTGCTCTAAGCAAGGTTATTTGATAACAGGCATGCCTTAAAGGATGCACACATGCTTTCCAGGAGGAAGATCTGTCATGAAGTGCACACCTGTTGCCACCAGACAGTTCTGGTAGCAGAACATGGATTGCTGGAGTGATCTGATGAGTGTCCCTCTAGCTGGGCGTCATGTAGCCAGCAGTAGCATAACTAGGTTGCTACAGAGGGTGGTGAATGAAATCTTCCCTAAACTGTTAGGGAATGATCCAGAATGTCTGTAACCTCTGTTACAGAAGGTCTCCCTAATCCCCATTTGTTAGTGATTGCTTATGGCAGGGACTGCTCATATACAAATCCAATTGCAATTTAATCCTCTTGGTTCTTGTCATCACTAGTATTCTGTGACATTAAGTCCTAAAGTTATCCACCCGTTCTTTTTAAAGTATCAATTTGAAAAGTGATTTAGTTCTGTTTGACTTTGTAGTAGGAGGGTAAGGAAAAAATGCTTCTTAATTAACTTTCATCATACTGTGTCTATTTATTTAGTCCTGTTGTTCTTTCAGATAAACAGCCCTGATCCTGTCAGTCCTTCCTAATTCAGTCATCCTTCTTGATAAATAACTTTTGGTGTCTGTCTCAAGGACCCTTTATTATCTTCATATATTTTTTAGATGTGGAGGTCAGAGTGAGCTGGTATCCATGGCATTGACTTTTATGCTTTTATATTATAACATTTAAAGTGTTTCATTTTTCTTGTTCCTTTGGGAAGATTCCATCTTTTTCTTACTGTATTTGTGCTGAGCAAAATTCTTGATCTGTTGGAAGATGGTGTGACAGGCTTTCCTGCAATGAACTCTCTTACTATGTTGCTAGATTTTATTTCTATCTATTTTTTGACAATGAGTTTTGTAATATGGTTATTTACACTTGTGTTGGTTTTGCATGGCCTGTTTTTTGGTAGTGGGAGGGCACAGAGGTGGCTTCTGTGAGAACCTGCCAGAAGCTTCCACCATGTCCAGCAGAGCCAATCCTGATGACTCCAAAGATGAACATACTGCTGGCCAAAGCTGGGCCAATTAGAGATGATGGTAACACCTCCTTGATAACATATTTAAGAAGAAAATCAAAACAGAGTTGGGGAGCAACATGCAGGTACCAAGGGCAGTGCAGAAGGAGGGGAGGAGATGCTCCAGGTGCCAGAGCAGAGATTCCTCTTCAGCCTGTGGTGCAGACCATGGTGAAGCAGCTGTGCCCCTGCAGCCTGTGGGGATCCACAGGAGATGCAGAGATCCACCCACAACCCATGGAGGAACCCAGGCTGATCCTCCTCCTGGTGAATGCCTGGAGGAGGCTGTCATCCTGCGGGAGACCCAGTGGAGAGAGGGGGCCCTATTTTCAGGCTGGAGCAGCCTGTCCTTGGAGAACTGCACTGTGTGGAAAGAGAGACCCACACTGCAGCAATTTTGGGAGGGCTGTTGCCTGTGGGATGGACTCACACTGCAGCAGTTTGCAGGGAGCTGTTGCTCGTGAGATGGAGACACATATGAGAAGTTCACAGAGAACTGTCTCCCATGGCAGAGACGCCACAGTGCAGCAGGGGAAGGACTCATCTCCCTGAGCATTGGTAAAAGCCTTGGCTGATGAACTGACCATAACCCCCATTCCCCCATACTCCTTGTGCTGCTTGGGTAGGAGGTACAGCTGGGAAGGAGGGAGGGGTGGAGGAAAGGTGTTTAAGGGCTTATTTTACTCCTCATAATCCTGCTCTGATTTTGTTTATAATAAATTCAGTTTATATCTCCAGTTGAGCCTGATTTGCCCATGGTGGTATTTAGTGAGCAATCTCTCCCAGGCCTTATCTCAATTCATGAACCCTTTGTTAAATTTTATCTCCTCTGTCCTGCTGCAGAGGGGAGTGAGTGAGCAGCTCTTGTTGGTGTCTGGCATCCAGTCAGCATCAACTCACAACAATGGGTTTTTTTTACCAGTGTTTCTAGTCTAAGTCAAAAGCTGGACTAGATGTTGGGATGAAGGGACAGTAGTAAAGAAAAAGCCACCACTCAGGTAATTGCCTCTGTTCTGTAACAGAGGTATCGTTGCCTCAAGTATTTGGGATTTTTTTCATTTATGGCACAAATTGTGGCTATTCATTATAGCACAAATGGTTGTGCTATACTTGAGATACTCCATTGTGAGGTCATTTTTCTTTCAGACTTTGTTCCTGTGTGTGTAGAAGTAAGAACATGGGATTTTTTTTTCTGATCATTTCAGTGGTGTGTTTGCAACAGACTGAGAAGCACTATTTAAATCTTATAGCAAATAATAAAATTTATTAACCTGACACTTTTTCAGAGAAATTCCTGCTACTTCTTTAAGACAACCTAAGACCTTTTATCCCAGTACTTCCTGAGCTCAGACTGGCTCCTCAGTTGCAGTTAGTGCCTATTCAGGTGCCTTTTCCCCTGAGATTCCATTGAATTTCTGCTGAGGTACAATGTTTTAATGCCTCAAAATAGCAACTAATGATAAGAGCTCAGTAAAAACAGTGCTTAACATACCAAAGCAATTTTTCTTCTGGCCTAGAAACATTGAAGAGAATTCAGTTCTTTGTGACCACCTCAGATCATCCTTTTGTCCCAGTATGGAGACTGTCTCTCTGTATTTTATTACAGAGTTTCCAGCAGCTGATCCTCCGATGCTGCTCACCAGGCTGTGGCTGCAGATCCCATCAAGGAGGAGTCTCTAGCAAACACTTTTTTGTTAGGTTTGACTACAGTATCAATATAGCAGATGTTGTCAAAGTAAATAAAATAACCTCAGTAAATTGTCCGCAAAGCCCAGCCTGTTCCACACAAGTTACATTACTCTTGCTTTATCTATAGTTTCAAAGTCTCTCTGAAATTACAGTTGTGTGGCTTTTCATAGTGAGAGGCACAAACACCTGAGCAGCCAAAGTTGCAAAGGTGACTTAATAGTTCCTTTTAATTTTTAAGTAATTAGCTCTGTGAGCGAAATGCTGTTCTTTTATTAAGAGTTACAAAATACTATACTAATTCTGCTCCTGCTTTCCAGGGGGCTGAAGTTTAAGGCACACTGATGTTTGAGCTTCTACGTTCTGAAAATGTGTGGCCACTCTCTGAGCATGTGAAGAAGCTCATCTGAGCTGCAGCTGAGTATAATATCTTCTATTGGCTCTCACAATTCCTAGCAGTGCTAAGATAAGTCCATTTTGGGATGCTTCTTTGCACTGTTTTTTAAGATGAGAGTGTACTCCCTCCTTGCTGAGAATGTTTTTGTATATTTTAGGGTTTTTTTCTCAGCATTAGCCTTTGCCTGTTTGTCTGCCTATTCCCCTCCCCTTCCTCTCCCCCCAGTTTTCATTTTCAATTATTTTTGTTTATGTTGAACTTCTGCCTGCTCAGCTGCAGCAGAGCTCAGTTTTGGCAGCCCGCCTTGTGGTGTGCAATCCTACAACTTCTGCTGCTGAGCAGCATGTTGGAAATCACTTTGAAATAAATCCATGTTGGACCGAAAGCAGCATCTTTGTTGTTACCCCCTCAGAGTAATTTGGTGCTATAATTGGAATTCTCATTTGAAGTAAATAAACATGATGTCAGATCTATAGACAGATCTGGATGCAGAGTCAGTGAGAGAAGGATGTGTGCATACAGCCCTCTCTGGAAGAGAGACGTATTTGCAAAGCATGCATGGCACTTCTGATGCCTTGGGGCAAGTTAGTGCTGGCGGGTAGCCCCAGATCCCCATTGGGCCACCTTGAGGTCTGTCAAAGGAAATGTTTGCTTCACTCCTGCCCTTGACATGAATGTGGCCCTAAGCCTCATGTTGTTTCCATTCTCTTATTTGGAAAGGTAATATTCAGGGGCAAAAATAGGAGTCTGTGGATCCACCATGGTACTGATGCTTTACCAGTCCTTGGAAGGGAGACGATGCTGTGGGCTTTCCTGGTTCCCTCCTGTGTGTAGTCTAGGATTTCCATTTCAACAAAGATATGGAGGAAATTGAGAGAAGATTGACAGGAATAGTCAGAGCAAGGGAATGACTGAGAAAACCACTTCTGGTAGAGACAGTTTGGTAAGTAAATAGAGATTTAGAAAATCGTGGGTTGGTTGGGTAGAGGATGGGTAGAGAAGGGTGGTTTCATGGCTTTTAGTACAGAAGGCAGCATGCTTCAAGTGAAACTGCTAGGAACCAGCTCCACACCCTCCTCTTTGCAGGAGAGTGACAGAGATGCCAAAGGTTCATGTGGGGAGACTGAGTTAATGCAGAGGAATATATTGACACATGAAAGACACACATAAGTATCTCAGAAATTATTTGTGTTGAGAATGGATTAGAGCCCAGACAAGCTTGTGCTAATACACATGGACATTAGTTCCATTTCTAGCTTCAGATATCCAGTCCTCAAGACTGTTTAAAAGGGCATGGTCTGATGGAGTGTCATGATTTGGCATTGGCCAGATGCCAGGCACCCACTAAAGCTGCTCACTCATCCTTCCCTGCTGCAGGTGGACAGAGGAGAGAAGATTTAACAAAGGGTTCATGAGTTGAGATAAGGACCAGGAGAAAACATTCCAGATCAAATTAGAGCTATAAAGTGAATTTATTACCAGCAGAATCAGAGCAGAATAATGGGAAGTAAAATATGCCCTTGAAAAAAAACACCTTTTTTTCCTCCAACCCCTCTCTCCTTCCCGGTGGCAGCACAGGGGTACAGGAGTGTGGGAGTTTGGTCAGTTCATCACCAGTGAGTTCTCTCACTGCTCAGGGAGAGGAGTCCTTCCTCTGCTGCACCGTGGAGTCCCTCCCATGGGAGACAGTTCTCTGTGAGCTTCTCCATGTGGCTCCATCTCATGAGCAGCAGTTCTCCCAAAACTGCTGCAATGTGAATCTGTCCCACGGGCAGCAATCCTCCCAAAACTGCTGCGGCAGGGGTGCCTCTTCCACTGGGTGCAGTCCTCCAAGGACAGGCTGCTGATATTCTTTGTTGCAGACGGGACAGGGCTATGTAGACTTTGGTCTGGCCCAAAAAAAAGCTGCTCATATCCTCCTGTATGGTGTGATTCAGTAACTTGAAATTGTTTTTTTCCAGGGCTTTGAAATCTGGGCATTTTTGCTGCAGGCTGCTGCTCATTTTCCTCCTGTATCTTCATATTTGTTTTTGATTAAAAAAAAATTAAGATCTCCTGGTTGCATTAAAGTCTGGTCTGCAAAAGCAGTGTTTAAATCTGCTTTGTACTTCTTTAATTGAGAAATGCCTACAACACAGAGACTTGAAATTGCTTTTTCAAGCCAAGCACATGGTTGCTGTTTGTCTGTCACACCAGCAATGGTTCCAAGTGTTTTTGTGAATTCAATCAAATACAGTCTAGTGCAAGCCAGAAAGCAAGGGATGAGAAGGTTCTGATGAGATAAATGTGAGGTGGGAAAGACCTGCAGCACAGCTGATTTGCAATTAGCATCTTCCCACTTCCCTGTTGTCTGCCTGTTCTGCCAAAGGAGGCAGAAAGATTTTGGTTTGAAAGGATGCTAAAGATGGCTGTAGAAAGCTGTCGAGGCTACAAACAGAGACATGTCTGTGGTGGTGGCAGAAGAGGAGCATGTCATGCCCTGCAAGCTTCTGAGGAAAGAGCCTTTTAGCACAGCTTGATGGGAATGGGGTAATGGCAGCTTTTGAGATTAGATGGGGAGTAAATGATGGATTAACTGCATCACCCAAAAACCACTGTATATAGCTGTCATGGCTGTGTCCTCAGGATGAACAGCTGTTGCAACAGTGTGTAGTTATCCCTACACTGTCCTCTTTTCCTCTCTAACACTTAGCTTCCCATTGCACTCCTGTTGCTCAATGATGCAGTAGCACCTATGAAAAAAGATGAAATGGCAGAGATTGCATTCAAAACATAACTGGAAATCCTTTTGATTTCAGCAGACTGTGTTTTATTTGGTTGCTTTTTCTAAGAATCACTTTTCGTTTCAGTTTCTCTCTAAACATCCAAATGGGCTTGTGCATTTCTTGAAAATAGTAACATTACTGAATCAGTGAGGTTTTTTCCTGCTGCTTTATCTGACAAAATTCCTTCTTCTCCTTTGAAGTATTAGTGATTCATATCCAAACATTCCTGAGGAACTGGGAATATTGGTACTGGCATTGGAAAAAAATAAACTCCAGGAAGAGACTTACTGGCTTCTTCAAACATTGAATAAACCCACAGCTTTCAGAATTTATAAGATGAACCTATTAGAATTGGGTCACTTTCTATATTGCCTCTTTTTGGTCTGAAAGAGGCGTACTTTGGGGACCTTGTTGAATTGTTTGTCCTAGTGGTCTGCAGAATTCAGTGTCTGGAAGCACAGTAGGGGTGGATATAGGGGCAGTTTCATTCCTTGTGATTTCTGGACCTCTCTCCCTGGTGGGACTTGTGTTCCCCTGACTCTTGTCCATGTGGTCGCTCAGCTCCTTATTCATTATGGTTCCTCAAAAGCTACTGGCTCTCTGATTACATTTCTTATACAAGATCCAAAGATCTGCAAGCCCTCCATCCCACTAGAATTAACCCAAAGGGAGGCCCATGGTCTATGGCTTGACTTCACTTTGTGCTTCACTTTGGGCAGTATCCTGTTACTGTTTTAACCACTACTTCACAGATGAGTGTTCCACTGCTTGGTGCTGTCAACCTGAAGGAAATCTGTTTCTGACAACACCTTAGATGCAGTCCAGGTATGAGGATGCTTTTTTACAACTTCCTGTGCAATACTAATGCATAGAAAACTATAGAGCCACCTCTGATGCCTGGAAACTGAGTAGATGTGATTTTGAAACAGAGACTATGTGTGAGCAAAAATCATGGAACTGGGAGAAAACAAGGTGAATGAGTTTTTTTCTGTAACATTCCCTTGAAACTGTCTAGACAAAATAATCTTTCCAGGTAGGACTTAGACAGCAAAGAAACCCCCAGATTTATACACCATGAATTTAAATTGTACAGTAAACTTCTATATTACATTTTTTATTAAATTGTGTATTCTTTAAAGTGATTATCTTTGAACATTTATACTTTTCTATAACTTGATTATTTTTTTACCTAATAAAATTCCGAAGAATTTGATGTTATTTCTTAGTGCTTAGAATTGTATTGCCCAGTATTTCCATTAAAGTAAGTTGTTTAAACTACTCAAACTCTTTATGCACGTTTCTTCTCTTCACTGTTCTTCAAACCTAGATAAATTCCCTCTTTCCAGAAAACCTATTGCTGCGGAAGTCATATACTTCTGTCCCTGCCTGACTAATTTGCCAGCCTTTCCCCTGCCAAGAGGCTACAGACCTGTCCCTCATTTTGGTTCTGTTGTCCAACCTTCTAAAAGCAGAGTTGACAATGATTTCAGGCTTGATCTCTCAGGGTTTTTTCCTGTCTGCTCTCAGAAACTGCTGAGGATCGAGATCATACAGCCTCTCTGGGCGAACTGCTCCACTCCTTGCCTGTCCTCATGGTGCAAAAGTCTTTCCAGATATCTGACCTTAAGCTCAGTTAATTTAATCCAGCCTGCATCTTCCTTGCATTCTCCATCACTATCCAGTTTGTTTCTATATTAATTTATTTGCCTTTCATGCTGATCTCTGTGTCCAGTTATCTGTGGAATTTTCTCTGCAGTCAATATTTTAAATCAATTAGATCAGTCCATCATTACAGTGCACACATTAAACCTAGAAAGAGCTGAATGGAAATTGAAATGCATGTTAGTTTAATGAGATGTAAATAAAATACTTGACCAGAGTGTCCTTTCTTTGGAAGAGTTTGTTTTGTTTGGCCATGGGATTATCTGTGTCCTGGTTTCACTGTAGCTGGAGAAGGTGATGGTGATGAAAAAACAGGAGCCCAGATGGTATAAAAATGAGGGGTATGAGAGACAAAGACACATGTCTTTAATTTCTCAATAAGGCTGAAGTTTTATTCAAGGACTAGAAGGATGCAGTTGGATTGGGCAATCCATAATACAAATTCTCTACCATCTTGAACAGAGTGACAATAAACAGGGTGACAATACCAGTTTAGTCTTTTGGAGAGAATAGCTTAGCATTTCAAGTAATTTAATTGTCTTTAGTTGTGCAATCAAAGTGTATCAATCAAGTGTGAAAAAAGGCTCAATAAATTTAATAATGAAACACTAAATTATGGAAGGATGATAGGTTTAATTTTGTCTTTTATTTCTTTTGACAACACAGAGAAATCTATTGATTATGATGCTCAGGTAATTACCTATCAAAGTGATGGTTTTAATGGCACATGATTTATTGTGTTTTCTACTTGAAAAATATGTTACATGTGCGATAAAAATAAAACTTTTGCTATTTTTTAGATTTTCACTAGCAATCTATTTTAAAATGGAATCAAGAGACACTCTTGTAAAGCTGGCCTCTTATATTAGCCAGGGTCAGATTTCTCGGTCATTTTAAGCACAATTGAGACTCTACCAGCAACATTATCTCTACTGTCATTTTATTTCTATTTTTTTAAGTATCTCTGCGTGTAAGTGTTTTAATGGGAGAACTTGCTTGTGATGTTTTGTCTTCAGATTTTTCTTTCTCAAGGGAAGCCTGTTAGTCTTTTAAAATGACATTATAAGTTGCTCAATAACCGACTTGGGAGTTGGAAGAAATCTGTGAGGAATGCTGGAAGGAGAAGAGACCTTTTGAGTAGCAATTTACTAGCTGTTTGTGGAATGCTGAGTTAATAGAAAATTGTATTACTACTCTACCAGTGCTAATAATGCATAACATTATTCTTCTATATTGCATTTTTAAAATAATCTATGTGAGCATATCAGTCTTCA